GCTTTTTACGCTCTTAAATATTTTTCCCAAACTTTTTTTTCTTTTCTTTTTTTTTTTTTTTTTTTTGTCTTGTAGGGCAAAAACGTGGGATCCAAAGCATCTACCCGCTCCTGCCACTATGACCCCCAGGTCAGTAGCATCTGCCTATCATAGCCCATGCCAACTTAATGCATTGCTCTTGTACTTCTTGTGCCCTTAACTGGACCTTGCACTTCAAAAAAAAAAAAAAAAACAGACAATTTTTACTCTGTTGACATTTAACTGTTTCAGTCTCTTAATGAACTAACAAAATGTCGGGCATAGCTTCAAATGGTACAGAACATCTGTTTCCCTGTGCTGTTCCGTATTCTCTTCTGGACAAAAAGTCTAACCGCAAACACCTTAGACCAATCATTTTGTATTTAAAAGCTGGACAAAATCCTCTTGTGACTTGTTGCTTCATCCATCTGATCAAGATTTGAGTTGAAGGTTTTCAGCCTTCTACATGGCAACCCGAGACATGGGGTTGCCATGTAGAGTTGTTCCAAGTCAAGTTCTAAAGTGTGATTTTTAATTCATTCATTTTTTTTTCTTTTGTTTTCTAGTTTACGTCGATATTCTGTTTCCACATACACGCATTAAAAAATAAAAAAAAAGAGAAAAAAGTATTAAAGTTGCTCATATTTCTTAAAACAGCCTAGAAATTCATGAATACTGCAAAGTTTTACAGGCCATTGGGAAGAAGCGTATCTACAGATTGCAGCTCTTTATTATTTTCTATTGGTCTTGCTGATACCTAAAATGCAAAAATCTACAATCAAACGACTTTTTATTTTCAATATGAAGTAAACGCATCTCAGCATTTTAAAAAAAGAAAAAGTTAATCACTGTAAGAAGCTCAGGGGTCTTTTTTATTTGATTGATTTATTTATTTATTATTTAAAAAAAACAATCAATACGACAGAGAAAAACCTGTGCATACATAACTAGGTACAAAAATAATTTCTTTACTACTTTTCTGTTTCAAAGGAAGAGTAATAAGAAGTGAGCACTTTCTATGAAGAACCTCAATTATCACAATAAGAAGGAGCAGCGGAGACGTCACACTGTGCGTTGGAAACGAGTTTTCTGTCTGAGTTTCTATTATTATTATTATTATATAATTATTATCCGGTCGGGTCCCGCTGTTGCTGACCGGCGCAAATCAACGCCTCTCGGAAGTTGGTGGATCCAAATAGATTCGTTTTGAGAGCGACGTCCAGCAGCTGCAGCAACAACTGCTGCTGCAGCAGCAGCGAGGCTCCTTCCTCCACCTGCAGCTCTCCTCTCGCCTCACTGGGGCCCAGATGTCACAAAGCAAAAACGCGCCATCTGACAACATTGACACCTTGTGGCCGTTTGTTTCCAACAAGACCCCCGGCAAAAAAAAAACACACACAAAAAAAAAAAAACCCTGATCATCAGCCACATATCAGATCAGACACGGTGGGGGGGTTGTCGGTGGGGGAGAACTGTGATGCATAACTAATGAGCTCAAAAGTAAGGAGGTGCTCTTATTGAGTCGTCATTTATTCAAATACTCCTACTGGGATGAATAAAAAAGAGGCAGTCCTCTGATTGGTTGACGACAGCAGCCTATGTAGCTTTCCCAAAACCTCTGAAACAAATCCAGATCAAACAAAAAAAAAAAAAAAACGTTTTTGACAATATAAGAATAAAGTCTCACTTGTGTTCTTGTATTTTGTGTAGCATATTTGATATGGTGATATATAAAAAAGTGTTTTCCTCTTTAAAGATTTCTTGTGATTTTTATTTATTTAATCTTTTTGTCCTTGTTCAAATCACCTGGCAAATCTTTAGAGCAAAGATAAACTGATTGAATTGGTTTGTTTTCAAATAAAAAAAATATTTATTAAGGAAACAAAGTGAAAAAAAAAGAAGAAAGAAAAGTAATGCCCATATTTGCAGAGGAATTTTGACCCACTTGTGTTTGCAGGATCGGTGAATATATGACGTATGGCCTGTTTTAGGTTATATCACAGCACTGTAGTGTCTGCTTTGATTAGGCCTCTCGAAATCCTTTTTCTTTCTTTTTTTCTCTTTATCTGGACTTGATCATCCATGTCCTGAAGCATCAAATGAGCTTTTGCTTTTGCTCAATTTTGTTTTGCTCTTTTACTATTCCAGACACAACAGGACCCACATCTTCCTGAAAAACAGAAAGTTTCAGTTTCAATTTCGTTTCGTGGGTACTCAGAATACGTGTAAAGGTCTTGGACATCATCAAGAAGTTTTTCTATCTTTATTTTTTTTCCTATATATATATATATATATATATATTGGAACTCTTCCGGTCTCTTCCTTGTAGTTTAACAGTGAACTTTGACATTAGCAGAAAGGATTGAGCCTTATAGGGAGTTACGTGTTGTTCCCAGTTACTTCCTGACTCTTTCGATGAGTCTTTGTTGCGCTCTTGGAGTAATCTTGACTCCATGTCTTTCTTATTTGTTGATCGTTTGCACACACCGTGTCCCCCTTGAGTCCCAAAGCCTTTGCAGACTCGCAGATGTGCGTTTCTTTGAGTCCAAGCGTGTTGTGTGGAGAGGTCTTTCGGCCGACGTTCGCGTTTTCAGAGTTCGGCTATCTGATTGTTATCAGGATTGGGTGCAAGCCCCAAAAATCTAAGTACAACCTGCATTGAAAGAATTTACCTCAATCATACCCGTTCTCTTTGCGTGTGTTGCATGTGTGACATTAAATTGGCAACTTGTGCCGTATGTTTCACTTGAGGAAACATAAGTCAGTACCAGTCAGTCAGTTTGTAGAAGATACTGATTTTCAACATCGTTGAGTTAAGAAATAAGAATTTATCCATCCTTACCAATCATACTATTTGAGTGATAACAATAAATGCACTAAATATATTGCTAAGTGGTGTAAACTCTGCATGTGATCTTGAAGACAAAATGTCTCGGTTCCATCGGCCACATCAGGGAATGCCGAGAAGTTTCTCAGTCCCCCCGCCTCTATTGCAAACAGCATTCTTATGATAATGGAATAATGCTGCTCCTTAGTTAATTGTGTATAGGCGATAGTGGTGGGCACCTATTGTTGCGGGCTCACATGGAGCTAAAGGAAAAAGCTGGAGGGGATTATCTCCTTTATGGAACTCCTCAAATTCCTCCCCAACTCATAACTTATTCAGCGTGTTAAATGTTTGTTTTTTGTGTGATTTGCAGAGCACGTTGACGGGTCTATTGGTCGGATCCATCTGTTTATTAAGAGATTAAGAGATTTTTATGTAAAAGTTGCCTCTCTTGCAGGCAAACAAAACCAAACACGCTTCTAAGTGGCTTAAGCCCTCCCAGAACAAAAGCTAGAAAATGTACAGCCGCTTTTATGACGTAATGTTTCTTTAATTTCCAAAACAAATGTAAATAATCCCCTAAAGAAAACAGGACACCAACTGGGCTTTTGTTGGACACTTGTTGATTCAAATCAATCTTTAATGTGCATTTAAATTAATTCATGTTTGCTACAGCAGAATGTTTTTTTTCTTTCCCCACTTACATATGTACAGACACGTTCAGCTTGTAGTCCTTTTTAAATGATGTCAGATGAAATGATGAAACTGAATAACTTCTGTTGTGTTCCCATTTTTTTTTTAAAGACCCTTCACTTCACCTAGGCATGTTCAAAAGCGTCAAATCATCTCATTTGGATTGTAGAGAGGGGGAAAAAAAAAACCCTCACTGATTGAATTCAAAAGTTTTTCTAATGTTTGGGTAAATAAACAGTTTTGTCAGCCAAATGTTCAATATTGTGCCCCAGGTGAGATATTAATGATATTCTGGGCATGTTTCCTCGCCATTGGAAGGAGTTGCATGGATCTGGGAAAGAGGCCACACCAATCCTTTCCTCCTTCCAGTTGCGAATTGGAAACCAGTTGATTTTTTGTATTTTTTCTTGTAAACAATAAGGCTGTCTCACCAACTGCTCATTATGCAAGTGATTAAAATGAACAAAAAGCAACTAACATCTCACTCTGCACTCAGATGCTTAAATTATTTGATGTTTTTTTTTTTTTTTTTATCAAATGAAAGTTTCACAATGTGCCCTGACTGTATCACCGGGGATAACAACTTTACAGTATAACTTGAACCTCCAGTAAGCTGCTCTTGAAGGTGTGGTACACCCAGTTGTACATTCATAAGCTTTGTACTCGTGTATTTATCAAGTGGGACAAAGAAGTAAACGTAAAACCGTAATTTGCAAACGACCATTTGCAGGCAATGGTTAAGCAAAAAATAAACTCAAAAAAACAAGATGTGACCCAGAGGTCAATTTCTCTTAAGTCTCTGTAAAAAAAATGGCAAAAATAGAGAAAATATTGTTCAAGTGAGGCAGGTTTGTTTTGATCACCAAAATCAAATGATTCCATCCAGAGTAACAACTGAAAAATCTAAAACTGAAACTTTGCTGATCGAGCCAGAAATGAGAAACCAAGATTTAAAGCTTCTTTGTTAAATCCAGAATCAACAATGGTTCGTTAAATTTTTTCAGAGAGTTGATTTAGACTTTAGTCGTTGCACCCAACCTTTGTTATAACCGCAATCAGGAATTACTCAGACAGAGCCTGTCTGGCAATATGAAGTAGACCAAAATATCCCAAAAAGCAATTTATCATACACAAATTGAACGAAAGGAATACAAATCCTGTCTCAAATTTGTCAAAAAAAAAAAAACTTTAACTACAGCAACTTCTCAGGATTTCCACTGAAACTTTTTCATAAAAGAAAAACTCCTGTCATCCATTAGCTACAGCATAACATCCAATATTAGTGGACAAGCCGTCCAGTAATAATAAAGTCATTGTAAAAGTCTTTGGGTTAATTCCAATTCAACTGAAATTCAAAAACAAGATCAAATACGTCAGCGCACTATGCTGGAAACTCCACTTCAATCAAAACATGTACTGTCGCTTTAAATCGCAGTTTTTCCATGAGCATCCGATGCTACAGCTGCAGCTAATCATCTCAGGTTCCTCTCTCTCGTTAGCTGGGAGCTAGCTATGATTTGCCAAACAGGGACGACTGATAATGGCTCCTTTCTGGTTCACAGACTAAATAGCTTGTTAATAAATGATCTGCTTTTATTTTATTTATTAGCTTTTAATGTAAATTTCACAGTTCCCTGTTGGAAGGCCTATGTTCTTGTCACCATAGCAACGAGTGAAATCTTTATTGCTGTCCACAAATAAGGTAGGAATGTGTTGCGCTTACATAGTCAGTTTTCTCACAGTCGTGTTGCCTGTTTTTGTAAAATGCGGGCAGGTAATATGATTTTATCTAAATAATATGGAAATTGGAGTATTAAGAAAAAAGAAAAAAACCAACAGAAACGAACAAAAAAAGGTCATGCTAGCCGAACTGTATTAACTGTTACTAGGTCGTAGGAGCTAAGCTAACTAGCTAGGAGACATCAAATTATATTCAAGTTTAAAATATCATATTTAATTATGCAAAAACACAAAAACCTATATGATTTTTTTAAATTATTTTTTTTTGTATATTTATGCTAAGCAATGCTATTGTAAGAAAGGGGGCGGGATATATTTAGGTAGCACAACTTTTTGTTGTCAATAGACTGACCTAGCTATAAATTAAAGCAGAGCTAATTCTAATGGATTTGAGTTTTGATCATTTCTGCAAACTCCAGAGCCAGTTTATGTTGGTCATGATGTTTAGTTTTGCATATAGAACCATCATTTTGTGTTGGTATAGTACTTCGTTGATATTTACTGTGCTTGCATCAAAATATTACGAGATCCAGTTATTTTTGAACTATTTAGCAGTGCTTTTTCAGTAGTGGGTCTTCACAGTGGGGCACTTGGTAGCACTGTTGCCTTTTAGCAAGAAGGTTCTGGATTTGAATCCCTGCCTGGGGATTTATGTTTCTCTCTGGATACTCCAGCTTGCCCCCACAGTCCAAAAACATGACTCTTAGCTCACTTGAGCACTCTAAAATGACTTCTACATATGAGTGTCGGCATGCATGCATGCATGCACGGTTGTTTTGTCCTTGTGTTTGCCTGTGATGGACCAATCTACCCAATGACCACTTGAGATAGGTTGTGTTCCCAACCCCCGTGTACCTCCAAGGACAAGCAGGTAAAGACAATGGGTGGATTTCAGTACTTTTTGAGAGAAGTGAAGCACCCTTTTTGTTGCTGGGGAAGATTTTCTGGTCAGTATTTGTGTTTTTGTGTGCAAATGTGTGCAGTTATAGAACTGGCAGCAGAATTACCATGATTAGTTTTATAAACACTTTAATTCAAAACTTTTTTTTCCCCATAAAATATTCCATTCCTACCTTTTGGGGATCGTATTAAGATATTATACAACAGTCAACAAGTGGCTTAGCAGACACATGGGTGACTTACAAAAAACCAAAACCCACATAAGTGTGTTTTTTTTTTATTTTGCGTGTGTTGTTTTCTATCCTTGTGTTGCTTTTGTATCTTGTGCAGTTTTTATATTATTGGTTGGCTCTTGGTCTTCATGGTTAATTTTCTCATTCATTGCACCTTTTTATCTTTCTGCTACGTTTGTGTTTTTAGTTGAACCTTTGTGTTCTGAACCTGACTATGGCGGCACAAAAAGCCGTTTTTGTGACCACACATGCATTGATTTACTTTTGTCTGAATGAATCCAGAAACCATCAATACCACATGAACTTTTTTCCCCATTTCAAGAAGAAAGTGTTTTGTCGTGATTACTTTTTTTTTAGAACTATACAAGGTAGCGCAACAAATTCTACAAATGCAAGAAAAGTTATGCAAAGTTTTTCATGGCGTTTGTGGGGAATTTTAAATAACTGGTCAATTGAAAGTATCTGTCCATCACCCCAAAATGTAAAGAATATGAGCTAAAGTGTGAGGCCGGGCGTGGAGAACACAAATCAGTGAAGCCGGAGAAGCTGGCAAAGAAAGAAGCTATCAGTGCAAAACAAGACAAAACAAAAAGCCAAATAGACATGCTTCCAGTTTGCAAAAATGCTACTTTTTTTTGGCATCATGTTGTGGGAAAGGGGGCTCAATACATTAATATACTAACTGAACTTTTCAGATTTGTGGCCACTGTTAATTCTCTTCTTTCTACTTTAACAAACCACTTTTTGGAATTAAATGCATGAAAATTTGAAGTTTTAAAGTGGAGAAATGTGAGTGTTTTTGTTGGGTTTGTTTGTGATTTAATCCTGTAAATATTTGCATGCTGTTCTTTTGTCTGTTTTGAGCCCTTTCAGATATTTCCTGTATTTTATGTCTATTTTAAGCAATACTTTTTGTCATAAATCCCCCCTCAAGGAATATGATTATCTCTTGTTTTGTTTTTGTTTTTTAATCCTCAATATACATCAGATAAAAACTTGATTTACTCATTTTAAAAAAATTGTATTAAGCATTTTTACTTAATCGATGAACTTATCTAAGGGCGCAAAAACTCCTGTTTTACTTTGCTCTTGCGTCGTGGACTTTCGTGGAGAGGCGTGTGTCCTCAAAAGGTTGCGCGTTTTGGGCGACAAAATCAGCCCCGCGATTGCGGAGCGGCGAAAAAACGTGCGACTCCGTCAACTTTGTCCGAGTTTAAACAGTGAAAATACTTCCTGTCTCCGAAGCGTCCGTCCGAAACAGCGGACATTTCCTGCTGAAATCGGATGCAGAGAGTGCACCTTTGCGCAGAGGCTGGTTTTATACCGAGTGGCTCCTCTGGGTGCACAAAGACAGCGGCTCGCAGAGGAACTTGTTCAGAGCGAACCGGAGACGCTGGGAGGCGAAATCCTCAACCTCCGGAGTCCGAATCGCAGCAGCCGCGCTGTTTACCTCCTGAAATCCTCTATTCTGCTCCCTCGCCTCAACGACACAAGGTAAGGAGTTGTTTTGGAAGCCTTTCGGTGGGATCGGAGCGCCGCGGAGCGGGTTAAATCCTCTTCGCTCTGGCTTCGCGAGCGTGGTTGTTTTTGCAGAAAATGGCGTCATCGCCCTCTTGTTTCTGCTTGGCCGCGGCGGGGAGAGGAGTAGTTTCGGCGACTTGTAGCGGCGCTCACACGTCGCGCACACTTCCTTAAAGGCAAAAATCGCGTACTGCGACGTCTTTTGTTCAACAATAAGGCGTTAAATTGCGAAATACTTCGCGTTTTGGCTCGGCAGAAGGACGCGCAAAGATGGAAGGGTCACCGGTCCTGTGCGCCAGGCTGCTTCTTGGAAAAGGTGGCACGAAGCCGCTAAACGCAGCGTTTTACGACGGCTCGAGACCCATCCAAATGACCGCGAATGATTTAGCTTTTTCCCTACGACGTTGATGGACATAGTTATGGCAGCCCTGCGCCGTATCTTTGTGTATAATTTACTCGGGTTAGCTCGTTTTTACGCCGCACTCCCCTGCCATGCTGCAATCGTTCCGAGGGGCCTCTCTCTCACACGGCTTGAAAAGGTGCATTATACCCTTGGCTTTTCCCTCTGATCAAATGAAGCTGCTCCTTTGTTGCTGGAAATAGCGGCTACAATATAAGCGTGTAAAAGGAGATTTTCGAGAGGGGGGAGGGAGGCTTTGGACGAGAGGGGGGGCCGATGCAAATCGTGCCATGAGAAACGGCGACCTGCCCCTGCGCTCTGGTTTTGCAGCTGAACCAGACGAGGACGTGCTGAATGAGGTGGAAATAAAAAAAGTCCCCTGGATGAATCGCAGACTTTTCCTCTCAACTACATGGGGAAGTCCGGGCGCTGCGCAATGATTGTGTTGCCGCTTTGCGCAGAGAAACGGTGGCAGCTGCTGTAACCGCCGCCGAGCGTTTCACCGCGATATCTTTTTTTTTTCTTTTTTTTTTTCTTTTTTGTCCTTGTTCGCCAGCCTTTTGTAAATAGTTGAGGACTCTCGGATAAAAGAGCACAATAGTATTCAAGCGGGCCCTTTATGGCCTGTGAATGTGGTCCTAAGTCCCCACTCCGACAGCTACGTGTATGCGTCCTCGCTCTGGCCACCACACATCCAGCACAGCGAGGCCACTGGCTCTCTCGTCTGTATCCGCTCTGCTTGGTTCCTCCTGTGCCACAGAAGTCGATGTCTGGTCGTGCGCTCAGCGCTGCAGCGCAGGTCAGCACAAAATCGAAGCCATCCACGGAACATCCTCTTCGTAATCGCACCGTGCCCGTATTTTTTTGTTAAGTTTTCAGAGTTATGCAACAGAATTGCCGCCTCACTAACCTGAAACCCATCACCGAGGGTGGATGTGTTCGTGTGAACTATCAGGGAGATCGGAAAGGACCTCGCCGCGATCGCGTTGAATTAAAAAAGATCTGTCATTTGCAAATCACCCAGTGCCATTTGCGTCACAGCCCGCGGCCTCGCACGCCCATGGGGGGCGATGGAGTTGCAAATGGAGACTGTATGTGTGTGCTGACGCTGCCCCAGCTGAAAGGGGAACCAATAGACACGGACTCGGGCGGCAACGATCGCCAGCGCGCCGCCACTCTCGGGCTGTGCACCGACTCGGGATTCCGTATCAACGCGGAAGATCGCGCAGTTTTATTCTGGGTTTCGTCGGGCTTTCCATGGCTTTGGCCGCGATGCGTAAGTGGATCTTACACACACACACACGGCTTAAAGCCGGAGGCCAGCCGGAGAGGAGTAGCCTATATGCGTGTCCTGTTCTCTTCCCTCATGGTGCTCGCTGCATGTGGCCTCTGAGAACTCGCTCTTTTGCTGGATAACTGTCTTTCCGCTGGATCGTGATGATGTGGCCGTAAAACCTTTATTACCAGCGCAAAGATCGCTCGGATATTTTACGACTCGAGCGCTGGTTCGGTCACTTTTTCTCTGTTTTTGTCAGATTCGCGACGCGCCACAAGTTTTTGCTTTGGAAATGAACGGGGCGTATTTTATCCAGGAAGGTTGCATTTGTTGTCGATGCGCTTTTGGGCACTGCGCATGGTTTCATCCACCGGACCTAAAGAAGGCGGAAAATCACCAAATTCTCTAATACAAGTTAATTAAGTGTGGATAAACTTAAGTTACAATTTTCAGTAAGAATGTTTATAAATAGCCATAATACGCTCCTATGTATGTATGTATGTATGTATGTATGTATGTATGTATGTATGTATGTATGTATGTATGTATGTATGTATGTATGTATGTATGTGTGTGTGTGTGTGTGTATGTATGTATGTATGTATGTATGTATGTGTGTGTTTTAAATTAGGTTGAACTTATGATTTGAAGAAAAACATTGCATCATGTGCTACATTTAACTTTTCTTTCCCATTTTGTCGCATTACAGCCCCAATGTATTTTATTGCATTTTCAACTGAAAGACCCACAAAATAGAACTAATTATGCATGATCTAAAAAAAAAACAAAATATGAAAAGTGTGGAATGCATCTGTAACCATATCTTATCCTGCTTCACTTAAGCAAGACGCAGTGCAACCATTTTATCCTATAGTCTCAGCATTGTTAAGTGGAGTCCACCTGGCTGCAGTTTAAATAATCTCAGTTTAAATACAGGTGTTCTGAAGATACTGGAGGACAAAAGGGATTGTGAATACCGAAACATCAAATAGCACAGTGATAAAGTTGGGGGAAGTTTAAAGCAGGGTTCGGGTGTAAAACAAAATCGCAAGCTCATGGGAAAAGACTGCCACATCTGCAAACCTACCAAAATATTTAATCTGAAATGCCAGATAATTACAGCATTGAATATGGAATAAAAACAAGTGAGTGGGGGGCGTGAAGTGTGAAGTTGAACTTTTTGACCAAGACTTTATTTAGCATAAATCAAAGACTGGATGTATACCCCTATGGTGAAACATGGTGATGGTGATATCATGCTGTGGGGATACTTTTCCTCAGCAGGGACAGGGAAGCTGTTATAAGCTGATCAGAAAACTGGGTGTGAGGTGGAGGAACGCCTTTTAGCATTACAGCAGCTGTAAACATTCAGAGCTACACTGAAATGTTTTACATCCTTGTTTTGGAAAGGTACAGACCTAAATCAGTGGCAGAACTTTAGGATGACTGTTCACAAACACACACATCTGAGTAAACTTGTGCTATTTTGCAAAGAAGAATGCCCAACAACTTTTGCCTCTGGATGTGCAAAACTGCTAGTCAGATGCTTACAGGCTTGTCACTGCTGTTGCAGAAAAACAGGCTTTTCCAAACTATTTACTCAGATAGTCTGAGAAAAGAGAGGTCACATTTTTCCAATTTTTAGTCATAAAAAATGTGAAAACCTTGTACATCATTCCCTTCACTATGATGTGCCACTGGTGCTGGTCTATTATATCAAACCCCCCAAATGTACATTGAAGATGTAAAGTGATAAAAGTAAGAAGTTCAAGGTCTGTTTCCTAGAACAAATACACAGAAGAGCCATAACTTTAATCACTGTGGAGAGAATCTACGATGAAATTTAAGAAGGATTCGGATAAGTGTTAGTGCGACTTAAGGGTCTAATACATATAAAATGCTATACATAGCATTTTATATTTCCAGTAGAATTAGGACTTTTAATTTCTTTGTCATAAGATTAACTTGACACAAAAGCAGCAGCAAGGACTTCTTGCTTTCTCTGAGTTCAAATGTTGGAGTTGTTAGTTTTTGTTTTTCAGTAGTCCACTTATGTCATTGTGTGATTCAGTCAGTTTAATGATGTATTACTGTGTTCAGTCAATGAGTCAGCCTGTCAGATCCATGAGCAAGTGTAGTCATTCAACAAATCTATTAACCTGTCAGCCCCATTACTAGTCTGCGAAGCAAACAGAAGCACATGTGGTGTGGGATCCACTCAGCCAGGCAACTAGAAAATCAGCATCTGGCTCTCAGTTAGTAGGTCAGCTAGTTGTTCAGCATGCACACTTACTAAACAGCCCGGCCCGGACTGATATGTTGCTGTTTCAATGGTGAAGGGGAACTTTGTTTTGAGCACAGCTTAACCTCTCAAGAAGACCTGCCTCTTTTCCTTCCTAGTGATAGATGGGCCTCTAACTTCTTAGAACTTCTTTTCAAGTCTGCTGTCACAATAACGTTAGCTCAAGATGGAGTTGCTTTAGGTAATATGAATTATTACTTTCCTCCTTAGGTTTCACAAAATATAGTGCCCATGTTTAAAATTTAGGCGTGATTTTCAGAGCTGTGAATCTACACCTGGCCTGAAAATGCCCATTATGCACATCCCATGGCTATATTTATTTAAATCTGTGTCTGCTCCCTTTATACACACTCTGCTGCTGCATCTCGATATGCTGCTCTAATATGCTTGGTCTGTGCATAATTTAAAGTAGCACTGGACAATGAACTCCATTTGAAAAGTCTCACTATATATTTAAGTATAGATTTGTTGCTGTGTTTGGTTCCCACTGTTATGTCTGTGTTCCTTGTCTTAAAATTTTAAAAAAAGAGCTGACTTTGGGTTTTCTTTTGACACTATCTTTTTCAGTCCGGTGACCTTTGAACAGATAAAAATGGAAAGGTAAAGAAATTTAATGATAAAATGACAAATAATACTCATTTGAGTTGTTGTACACCTTTCAGGATGGACTTCAGACATTGATAATAAGGTGCTAGGTGCCTCCTGCTCCAGCACAATTAGTACATTTTATTTTATGGCATGGGGCTATAACCAACACATGTTCAGTCAGTGTTATGTTCATTTGTTTTAGCACTGATTAAATTTATTCTTCATACTGTGGTGCTCATAGTATTGAAACTGCCAACACATAATTGACACATAGCAAGTTGTTTCTTGACTACAAGAACACATTTCTTCTTGACAGAATTTGAGGGGTTCATTTCAACTGGTTGGTCATTGTACAGATTCTTTTTTTCTATAAGACAAATAAAAACAATCACAGTTTTGACTCATGTTTAAACTAATAGTGAAATGTCAGTTTGAGAATTAAGTTTTTAAGTTTTTGGGTATAACCCAGATCCAGGCTTTGCATTACCTTAATTTTGGCCTTATCCATTTACAAACAGTTTTGAATCACATTCAGTCTCCTGTTGTGAGTCAATATGAGAGTTTCGAACTAAAAATATTGTAACAATTTTTTAAGCATGGTGGTGGCTGCATTATGGTGAGGATCTGTTTTGTGTGCAGGTAACAACAATAACAGGCAGGGCAACTTAAGTTCCTGAAATCACAAGTTAAACAGAGCTGATACTTTCTTACAATTTTGTTTTCCAGACTTTGACAATGATCCCGGACACAAAAAAATCTGCTTCTGGAAATGATCAAGACAAACATTAAGATTTTGTAATGGTTTCAATGCAATCTATGGATTACACTCTAAATTTGACCAAAGAAGACTCATGAACTGCTTATTCCAATGTAATGTCAGGACATTGCTGTTTGTTTCAGAAAGTTCTCGATCAGGGTACAATTTGCTATACTGATATTTAATTAGTTTTTTGGGTTTATTTACTGTATGAATAGCATGAGTAGATTAAAACAAATACACAATAACTTCAAACAATTCAGTAAAGATGTTAAAACCATATGCGTCTAAAAATAAAAATTATGGCCATGATTCGTACATGTGGCATCTGACCGGAACTGTGTTATTTACATTTTGCGTCAACACTTTAACATCAGTGTGTTTCAGTTCAGGAAGTCACCTTTCACTTCAAACCAACATACAGAGGATGTGTGACGTGTTGCAACTTGGTGAGCATTTTGGTGACTGCTTGTGGATTGGACATGAGGATATGTAGAATTTATTCAACGCACACACTGTAAAATCGACAGTGTAGAATGAGTTGTTTACATAACCTTGCTCAAAGTGCCTATATTTATATAAGCTCCATTTGCACTTGTAGCGTACATTGGCACTGGTGATGTAAACCCGCCATCACATCACACGAACAATGCCCAAACTGCCGGATTCAGTGACTGAATGTCGAGCGTTTGTAATTTCAAGCAATATGGATGTGTACCAGTTGGCCACGGTGCTGTCTGTACTGTCCTGTGGCCAGCTGGTATCAATGGTGTGTCTGCCAGCTGTCAGCATCATGTCACAGCGTATCTTCCTGTCAGACTGCCTCTGCTCAGCCGCAGGAAATACATATCAGAGGACACTGATTGCTGCCACACATCTCTTGGCTGTAGAACCAAACACACAATTCATCTGTTATTGATAAACTTGATATGCTGAGGTAAACATAAGCACATAGGCCAAATAAAATGTTTTTTTTGGGTGAGTTATATTTTGCATTGCAAAGAACTTTTCTATTTTTTTCTGTTTACATTGGATAATTTCTTCGGTTGGCTCTCAACATACAACAGATGATTTACCTTTTAGAATAACAGTTGCTTAAAACTGGTCAACACACCAATACATTATTTTCTGGCTGACGCAAACAAAAAACCCAGGAGATGGAAGCTGATATTAGGTGTATTTGTGAAATGTTGGGCGCTGGTGGAGTAGATTGTTTTGTGGTTTAAATTTAGCTTTAAATGGATCATAACCGTGGGGTAATACATTCAATGAGATGACTGTAGGCACAGAGTCTTAATGTTGTTTTGCCTGGAGCTGGATACATTGTTGGTTGGTGTATGGGAAATGTGAAGATAGCCATTTAACTTGCAGTACCTTGCAAAAAGTATTAACTTTATCACATTTTGTTGACCAGCTCGCTATAGAGCATCATTACAAGCTGGAAGGAAAATGATACATGTTTTTTTCTAAATTTATTACAACAAAGTACAACAGAAGTTTGTGTGTATTAAATAGAAATACATTTTACTTCTCCTGCAACTTCAAGTCCTTTATAGAGTAGGACATTTTTGCAATTTTTTTCTAAATGCCTCAAGATCGGTCAGATAGGATGGTTAGCTTTTGTTATCAAAACGTGCCACAAAGTTTCATGAATATGCTTTTTAAGAACATGAAAGTTTTTTTGGGGGAGACGGTTAAGTGGTTATGTCATCGTTGACGCTGAATTTAAAGTCATTTTCTCTCTGAGCAGTTAGCATTAGCCGCAGTGTTAAATCTGTGTTTTTCTCAGATTATCCAGTGTTTTGCTCCATCCGTCTTCCTATCAACTGTTGCTGTAGCTCAGTGGACGTAGTAACTGTCTTACAATTGCAAATTTGTGGATTCTATTCCAGATTCCTCTCCCTGGTCACATGGGCAATTCACTAACACGTGAATGAATGTCAGCTTTTTGAAGACACTCAAAAGTACGTAATGCTTTTATCATGACTAGAAAAGCATAGTGTCCTGTCAATTCATTTATTATAACGTTGGAGTCAGTGTTAACTGCCTAAGAAATGCATTCTCAGAGGATGATGCTACCACCATGACTCACAGTGGTGTGTTCAGGGTACATTAGTTTTCCTCAGAACTACTTTAGCATACAGGGAAAAAGTGAAAATTTGGTCTAAATTTGACCAGAGCTCTCTCCACTACATGTCTCCAATATGGGTCATAGCAAAGACTACAAAGACGTTTTTGATTTTCTCTTGCTTTTCTTCCATGAAGTTTAGATTAGTGGTTTCCACTAGTAGTTGTTTCCTGATGAACAATTCTCGCACCTGAGGCATTGTCCTAAGACTTACTTATTTTGTCTTTTATAAAGCTATTTTAAAACTTTAGATGTTTTCCTTCCACTTCACAGTAGTACTGATTTGTGATAAGGTGTAACATAACCAAAGACGAAAAAAGAAAGGGGTGTGAATACATTTGCGTGGCACTGCAGTAAAGGAGGCTTGTGAGTCTAAGAAGCTCAATGATCTCGAGATTCCTTAAGTGTGATTTATCTGGCATTCCAGCCACGTCTCACTTCAAGTTTCATCTTTTTCTGCCACATTAGCCATTGTTCCAGTGCTTTCCTGATCAGCAGCTCATGAGTCTCTTCAGAGAAATCAGTGAAGAAATGTTTCATTCAAACCTGCTGTTTTATTCACCTAATCATGTACACTTTGATTTTTGTGCAAAAGAACATTTTCTCCTTCAGTGATTATGTGAGCAGGTCCATTACAGTTCATTGTACCCTCCTGTCTTCCACTGGGAGGTCAAGCTTATTGATATGACATTTTTAAGTATTTCTAATTACATTTAAGAGAGCATCAAGGTAAAAACAAAGTATGGATGCAGAGTTTGGGTCAAAGAGCAAACTCTTGGCATTCCCAATTCATAAGTTTTAGCCCAGGACACTTTCTCTCTTATTGCCTGAGTTATAACCAGACTCTGTACTTTATAACCAAGGCTGTCTGTTGCCATGGAAATGGGAGAGTCCCTTGCGTTATGTGTGTTAGTGTATTATTGGTGAAGGTCTGGCTAAATCCAATTGCTTCTAATCTTTGTAGTACATCTAAGCCCTTAAATAAGTCATTTCTGGCTGTGTTGTACGCTTTGAGATGGTTGACTCTGGAGGGTTTCATTTCCAGCAGCTTGTCAGATTTTTTCATTTTTTTTTTCTTTTTAATGAAATACCTCTCAGCAAAGTAATTAGCTCCTGGTGGTCTTTGTTTGGCATTTGCAACCTTCTGGATACCGCTGTACATTTAAATCAGACTGAGGATCCCAAGATAAATCAGTTTGTTTATTACCGTTTGCTGATGCTGTGAACGCAGGTAGTACGGCAAGTTCTGAGTCACTTGAGAAACTCGGCTTTACTGAGACGTTCCCCAATGCACAGAGATTTTCATTAGGCTAAACTCACTCATCTGTAGGCATTTCCTAAAGCAACTTATTCTTGATCAAAAGTGAAGCAGGGGATTACAGCATCCATCAGGTGAACGCTAAAATCTTCTGTCTGTCATCAGGAGGCATAGTATTAACATGTATTAGTACTTATTGAGCAACAATCAAGCTCTATAAATACATTAAAATCTATCTTTTGTTAAAATGTCCTCTCAATTTATTTAGATTTCCCCCCCAAGCTTTTAAGTGGCAAAACTATTAACTGACATATTGTGGTAGACTGGTTTTCTTTTCTTTTTTTTCTAAACATCTGCCAGCCTGACATAAACACTCTTGGACCTGTCATAAGGGCCACATGGGCACATTCCCAGGGGACATTCACTAGACATGACCCAGCATAAGATTTTCATATTCTGACTTTTTCTTTTTTTTTTTTTTTTTTCCCTATAGGGAAGAAAAAGGCCAGTATTTTCGAAATAGTGGTGCTTCAATAAGAGTGAGCTCTGAATTTCCAAAACTTGATCTTTTCAAAGAGCCAAAATTGTCTTTGTTCAACTGAGCAACATGTGAAGCAAGATCAACTTTTTAACTGCTTGAGAATCAGCTTTATTGTACCAATATAAAGTTGTTAGAAAGGTTGAAAGAGGAGTAGGAGGGGTAGATCGCTTCTTTCCGAGATGATGGTGATAAACTTGGTGTATAACAGGCGACTACTGTGGTGTGTAGGGTAGTTGTCTCGTATGCATGTGGCTCCAATGTGAAGTGCTTTGAGTGGTCATTGTGACTAGGAAACCGGCATAGAAATCCAGTGCATTTGCCGTTTTCAGAGGTTGGTGAACTCGTTCGGAGCAGTCCGATCCCAAAAAGGTTTTTAGTAACAACCAGACGACTCAAATAAAAAGGGTTGTCAGGCTCAAGGATACAGAAGTTAGTTCTTCTGAAGGGAAGAACTATAAAGCTGTCTGCTCACTTTATTTACTGTGATATCTTTGCTTTGTTGCTGTTAGCCTAATAAATGCATATCAACAGTTTGATCTATCAGTTCATTACAAATGTTCTTTTTCCTCTTTAGAATCAAGCTTATTATTTTCACCCTTTATCGCCACCTAAACAGCTTTGATACGTCTTATTCATGCAGCCTTGAGAGGTTTGTTTTCAATTAATCCACTCAGTAAAAGGAAAGTACACCTCATGTGAATTCAAGCATTTTAAAGTATAAATGATGTGGCCTCTACTAGTTTTAAAAGTTATGTAAATATCACCACAAGTGTGGAAAAGCATAGATACACTGATTAGGACCTACCAATTCTGATTTTGACTGAATAATAGGAATTTTTAAGGTATCTTGAATTGAAATAAATACATTTGAACAAATTATCCCTGTTTTGATGCATCAGAGCACATTATGCCTTGATCTTGTACTCATTAAATGAAAGTATATGGAAGTTAATGCTGTTGTTTGATGTTTATTGAGCGTAGGCAAAGAAGTGAAGTTTGTTTTTTTAATATATATATTTGACCTATTAAATGACAATAAAAGAAAATGGTCCAATAAGTCAGCTACTTTCTAAAGTTGCTCTTTATGTTTTGAGAGATTTCTTCTTTGTCATTTAGAAAAAGTTATTCCGAGGTAAATTCTTGTTTTGAACAGAGTTCAGTCGAACTAACGACTTTCTTCACCTATAGCATCTTTACCATTTGTTGTTTAGCTGCTTCTCAGCTGCCACTGCGTGGTTTTATACACTTCAAAATTTATGATGTATCACACCCGCAAGCAGCAATCATCATTTGTTGTGTTTTTCAAACTGATGCTCCATTTTACCTCCAACAGACTGACGTTTTCTTGTCTGCTTTCCAGTTGCGGTTCCACTCCAGCTATTAAGTCAGAGCTCCATCATTTCAAGTAGCCTCTGGTGTTGAGTTATCGCCTCGTAGTAATCTTGTGTATCATCAGCACTGAATGCAAGGATTCAGAAGTTGCCTGCAGCCTGAACTCAAAAGAAAACAAATGTCCTCACTTTACCAAAATCCTGAAAATCTATTTTAAAAAAAATCCACTTAAGCTGCCAAGCTGCCAACTCAAGTACCTCTGCTCTGTAGATTTGATTTGATTATTTGTAAACAAAAAAGCTGTTAAATTACAGTGGATCATAGCGCTGTGACAATACCATAATTCACACAGCCGTTACTATGTAAAATATTAATTTAATTTCCTGTTGCATACTTTACTGCGGGAAGAGCTTGACCTTTGCTTTTAAATGAACAGGGAGGTCTTGCTGCTGTATATTTTGCAGATCATCCACAGTTTTCTGTGTTTTGTTCTCTAGAAACCTCTGGACATTTGGTGTTTACTCATAAACTCTTGCTGTCCATCACTCTGAGCCTGTTATTTCCTACATGGTGAGACAAAAAAGTTTTGAACCGCTGAAACATTTTACAGGCATGTTTGTCTCCCTCTGCTGGATTTTGAGGGAGACTACAAATACCATGAGTATTCTGAACTTGGGAGTCAAAGATGTGAAGCTGTTATTTAGTCCTTTTCTTACTTCACATTCTGCCGTCAAGTTTCTTTAATTTTACCTTCTAGTTTGAATGAATGTTTCTTTCGCTTTTGTCTTTTTTTTTAGCACAGATATGTGTTTTGTTAAACACATCTAAGTGTCAAAAATATATTTGTGCATTCGCCCACTGTCTGACTGCTGTATGTAAAGTTAGTGGGGGGGGGGAGAAACATGATTTACGACTTCCGAGCCACACCAATCTGCTGTTTTGTGAAGCTCTTTTTGGTTGTTTTTTATTTCGGTTTTTAGACTCCGCTTCACTCACAACATTATTAAATTGAATGCAGTTGTAGAAAAAGATTGTACTTTCAACTCCATCTGGAATTCAAATGATTTCATTATTTGTAGTCATATCTACAGTCTGATCTGTTCTCACAGAACAGGTAGCGTCACGCAGCTCAGTTTCAGATTTTATCAATCGTTCCCACTAGAGGGCAGCAAGGTAATCTTTTTTTTTCCCTTATGCTTTGATAAAAATAATTCGTTTTAAATTGGTGATTTGGTCTTACAAATACTTTGCCTTGACTATTTCATTGTGATATGCTCTTAAAAGTTTGCACTGCCGAGTCGGAGTTTAGCTGGTTGAGATTTCTTTTTATAAAGTATTCATCTCCTCAGATGTTTTACCCTTTTATTGCTTTCAAAGAGGATAAAACGGAGTGATTTTGCTCTAATATATTCTGCTTCCTGTTAAACACTGAGAACTATCTCCCTGTGGTGAGATCATGCTTGATGTCTCTCCATAGTGAATAGTTTTCTTTTAAAATGATCTTTACAGCGTTTCTACTTCCTCTAACAAAATTTTTAAGCCCCTAATTTTAAGTTTCCTGCTCACCGATCAGGGGCAGTCAAGTGCAAAAATCCTTTGATTGCTGACACCACATCTATAATTTTAAACTGCTCTGTATTCACATTTCTCACATTCTTGTCAGTCTGAGAGAGAAATGAAATATGTGGAAGATGATTTACAAAGGGAGCTCATCTTTTGGTGAAGGTTTGGTTCCACAGTAACAGTTAAACTTACTTCTTTTTAAAGAATTAATATGTATGCATTTGTGTCAATAGTTTGCCTGTGCATTGATTTTTGCTAAAGAGTCCAAATCTGATTTAAAAACAGAGATCACATGCCAGGTTCTGATGTTTTGTTATCTATTTTGGCTCAGCTTGAGTCACCAACAGCCATTTTTAACTTCAGTCACACGCCCAGCTGGAGTGGTGTCTAATTCAGTAGCTTACATGTACTGTTGTTGCATGGTTACAGGTGAGCTGGTAGTGAACGTGAGGTACACCAGGCCAGTCTTGGGAGCATGGCGAAGGCTCAGAAATCACCTGGGAGGAAGACTGCTCACTGTCTCCGCAGACAGGTACTGCAAAAAAAAAAAAAAAAAAACACAAAAAAACCACTCATGTTTACCCTCCTCCTCTTTTCCCACTTGAAAAGCTGTGATAATTGTTTTTTGGCGGGTGTTCACAGCTGACTTGGCTGAGGTTATGTGTCCTTCCACCTCTTGCAAACGCATGTGTTTGAATGCACGGAGTGACCCAGTGGCCAAGCGGTACACTGTCTTGTGCTGATGTATTGTAATGTGCCTAATGTGAACTCATTTATCCATTTCCAAGGGCAGCAGGGACGCATAGTTAGCTAGACAGACACAGACAGAGAAAATGAGAATAAATTGGTTTGTGGGAAAGAAAAAAAAAAAGATTAAGGAGTGGAAGAGGAGGAAGGTCTGGTTAACAGACACAACAGCACATTAAATCTAAAAAGCTGGAGTGGAGTCACTTATCAGCTCTATGGTGCTTGGATATTCTGAAGATAATAGTCCTTCACAAATAGTCCAGCTGTTCAGTTGACTGGATGGCCATACACATGTGTACCATCCACATCCAAGTGTTCTCTGCCCATATTTGATACCAACAATGTACATTTGTGTACCTGGTTAAGATCCCAGGAGTTTGAAAAAAATTACAAAACTGGCTTTTAGCATTTCCCAAGCTCAGAAAGCTTGGGAAATGCAAATGTATTTAGAATGATACATTTGCTATTGTTTATTCTGTTTTCTAGTGGAATAAAAAGTGAAAAGTGTAAACTTTCTAGAATTTGTAGTAGAACTGATCTAAATGAACCCAGGCACCAAAAGAGCAGTCAATCAGCCTTTTATCACTCAGCCAAGTCAGAAGCCAATTTCTGACTTCCTCACATCCTTTGAATGATAACTTTGATTATAGTGATTTCAGTTTATTTCTTTTTTTGTATCAAATTTTTTTTCCCCCTTCATTTCTGGTCTGGTTTTTCTCAGGGTGGCGGTCAGGCAGACATGGAGGAACTTAACGTGGACACTCAGCATCCACCACAAGGCCAGTCCAAGGGAGGAAATCAAATCCTTGTTCAAAATTCTTCTCCTGCTGGAAGCTTGTCGGAAAACTGCGAGCACAAGGAAGCTCCGGTGGAGGCCCAGGAAAAGAGTGACACTTCTGCCCAGCCGCAGGCCAAGTCTCTGTGGAAGCCCATTCCCCCTCTGCTGCCCGAATCCCACAGGAGCACCAGCACAGAGTCCAGGGACCAGAGCAGCCAGACCGAGGAGCAGGGTCGGCCTATCACAGCCAATAACGACGGCCATAACACAGGTGCTACATGTCTCGCCGCTTTGATTCACTCACCTCCAGGCTAAGACTGTCCGTCAACCCCCTGTGTAGCTTCACTCCCAGGGGACTGAATGTAGCCGCTTAAAATAAAGCTGAATGATTTGTTCTCACTGAGAAATTGACTGCTGCGAAGAGGAGCTGTTTTTGGCTCCGAGTGCCATGACGTGCATGAGAAGTTGGTCCGGGTTATCCAAACATTTAAGAAAGTTTTTGTTTGCAGTGGAATTCTTCCTGCCATGGTTTGGACCCTGTTGAATCAAGCTCCAGTCATATTTAGAGTTTGCACTGATGCTAGTTGTGTTTTGGTGTAAGGCTTTGAGCACTCACTGTAAACAGGACTGATCTTTGACCCCCTCCTGGGGGATATGCGAGTTTAGTGACCTGTGCTGCTGGGATTAAAGCAGTTTAGAAGTAGAGGTGAGGGGGGGATGGTGGGGAAGACAATGCTCTCTGTCACCCGTTTAGTTAAGCTAATCCTCGTCACTTTTTTTCTCTCTTTTCCCGCCATGCTCATTCATATTTCAACCTTTCCAGTTGATGCCTTAGGGGACTTGTCACTGCGCCCACAATTTTTCCTCCCCATCTTTCACTACTACCTCATCAAATCAGCTGACACGTCTGTGAAATGGATTGAGTCCATGCTGCGTTTCCACCCAGGTCTCATGAATGAACTGCGTCTAACTCTGATCAAATTGATGGCCATGAGGGCGACTGACCCAGGCTGACTCCGTTTTAACCTGCGTCACTGTAACGTTCTACAGACCAATCGGCCTATTGTTGCATATGTTTGTCTGCAGGCATTCGCATATAAAAGCCAGTGTGACAGACTTTTACATATTAACTGCATTACCATTTATCTGCTAATGAGGAACATCTCCTGGTTAAATCCATCTGATTTGATCTGCCAGTATTGAACTATGATGATAATATGAGCAGATATAAAAAAAAAACTTAAAAATCATATTTCCCAGCCTAAAGTTAATTATCAGTTATTTCTTTTGGGTGCTTTGGCGTCATCATGATGCATGTATGAGAGAACAGTTACTATAAAACAGCATTTTAATGTCATTTTGAAACAAAGGCTTTTTAAGATGTTTTAATATCTTATTAATTAGAGAGGATTGAATCACAAACATGAGTCTCACAGACAGGTTGAATGGTCAGAGGGACAAACTGGCTGAGCTTCCTATTGTCTGCCTTAAGTCTCAATTCCTCTCATTATCTTTCAGCATAGACAAACTGCTAACACTGTCTTGATTCAGTAACAACTTAGACAAGAGTGTTGTTGCAACTGTGAGACGTAAGTGCTTGGAAACGGTGTGTTCACTTATTAGAGGAAGATCAGACATTAGAGTTGCCAACCAGCCATTTGTTAGTCAGGACCGAACAACCTGAACATCCACTGATACTATTAACCAATTGGTTTCTCAGTGCAACTTTAGCAGGTTGTTGTAGTTTTTCTCCTTTATTATGTATTAAATGTTTCAAAACCTCAATAGTAAAAATTTTACTTTTATGTAAAAGTAGCATCACAACAATTAGCTTTGGTTTTCCCTCGGATTTCAACATTTGTAACAAGGCATGTCAATAAATATAAAAAACAGATTTTTTTTTAATTTGAACTATGATG